GCAGGTTTTCAGTGATATGGACTCCGAAATTAAAGTTCCTGGAAAATGAATTGATCTAAATTTCAGGCTAAAATCTGCAGTAAAATTACCAGAATGAACTTACTTTTTTTAACAGAAGCAGGCACCATATATTAGCTTGTCTATCCTCAACTGTGGCCAGATGCCAAAGCCCGAATAGCGTTTTTTGCTATTGTGCCGAAAGATGTCAATCAGGTTGCTGCCATTGTGATATCCTTGCTATCCTTTCCTTTATAACGGTCACATAAACATTCGAAACCTCTGAGCGTTTGAGGCTATGAGGTTGTCATCAGGCATGTGATGTGGTCACATATCTAAGTTAAGAAGTTACCGTGAATTTTACGATCAACTTCTTCGTCAGCCTGCAGAGTTGAAAAAGTTAAAAAGTTAGAAAAGGTCAATGATTTCAAAGCGCATGCGATTACATATGAAAAAATGTACTTATATACATGCCGACCACAACTGGCCTATGTGAGCTTAGATGTTTTATTCTAAGCAGTCATATTATTTGTAATTAAAAATGTTTAGTTTTTGTAACGGCGGTTGGTTAGGGCGTATGAGCAACATATATTTATGCCAGCAGTGATTTTTCGAATACTTTCAAGAGATGTTTTTTTATGAATAACATTCTATTTGAATCATAATTAGGTTACTAAAAGTTTAGTTTCTTTCGAACTTATTTTTAACATATTTTCTGCTATAAGAGAGTCCAGGAAATTTGCACATATTAGAACATTAACGCCGAGCTATTTGCCTAATTTCACAAAAAAAACAAAAAAAAAAGGGAAGTTATGCTGAATTTTAGAAGCATATTGTTTTATTATAAGCGACGCAAAGTCTCTTAGCATATTCGCATGAGCACACGTGCAACTTTTGCCAAGGTCGGGTAAAACTAGTGGACTTAGGGCCCGCTGTTATGTCTCTCAACACTTGACATCAGCACACACAAATACATACACAACACACATGTGCCTTCGATCTGTATGAAATGCTTTCGCCATACACGACAAACAAATCCATTTTGCATTCGTTCTTCACACAGTGAACATGTGCAACAGGCAAGCGGAACATTTCTTGGAATTTATTTCTAATGTAGCACTTTTATCTATATCTTGGTATTTCGTTAATAAGTTATTCCAACTTTTATTTTTCTCAATTTTATATTTATATTTATCACTTTTCGTTTTCCAAATTGCCAATTCATTCAATAAGATCAATAAATTCTGATACGAAATCTTTAGTAAGGGAGGCCTGCTTTAGAAGCTTCAAAAAATCGATCTATGAATATGTCCCCAAAGTTATAGATGGGATACCAAATATTACCGGAGCTATAAGGGAAATGGTGACCGAGCGTCTAGCAGATATATGAGCGCTTGGCCAAAAAGCGAAAACTTTGAAACGCGATTTCGTTGTTTTTCAATTCAAAAAAAAAAAAATGTTTTATGCAATTGGGGCAAAGTTTATTATCTTTCTCATAACATTATCTTCTATTTAAACTAAAAAAACCTAAGAAAAGTCAAGTTTGAACATATTTTTAAACAACATAAAGTTAAATTTTTTTGGTCAAAAACCACTTTTTTCAATTAAAAAAATTTTTTTTTTAAATTTTACACTTTTTTTTGGATTTTTCTTAGTTTAACTAAAACATAAATTATTAAAAATATGAGTCTCTTTGAACTTTTTGTCTCCGATAGAAATTCCGACCTGCATTCTGCCGTCTGAAAAATGCACATGCGAGATGCATCGGGCAATTGCTTCTGAAACGTAGCCTAGAAATTTCACTTGAATCAATTATTTCTTTCCGTCCCAAAAAAAACCTCAAAAAAAAAAAAATCGATTTTTTAAGCCTCTCCCCTTAACACTTTCTATTGTTCGTCGCGACTTCATTGTTCGGCACACACATGTGTGCACACCGATGATAAAAAATCAAACATTTTCGCGAACATGGATCGGTATGCGCACAAGTCCATACAATCGCACAAAAAATAAGGTGACATTGTATTTATTTTGAAAATTCTTTATTTATTCTTCCAAATCAATTTCATCCCCTTCAAAGTAATCCCCTCCCGATGCAATGCATTTATGCCAACGGATTTTCCAATCTTCGAAACACTGGTTGTAGTCACTTTCCGGGATGGCCTTCAGTTCCATCTTCGCTGCGGCTTGAATCTCCTCCATCGTATAAAAACGGTGTCCCCGGAGCGGTCTTTTGAGCAGCCAGAAGTCGCAACCAGAAGTCGCACGGCGCCACATCATGTGAATACGGTGGTTGCGGAACGATATGGGTTGAGTTTTTGGCGAAATGATCATTTAATGCAAATTCTGCAAACTCACTTTTAGCAGCTCACAAAACGACACGTATCTTAAAAACTAATGAATATTTTGACATGAAATTTGACATAAATATGACTGACAGTATTAATAACCTAAAAAAAAAATAATGTCACCTTTTTTTTAGGCACATTAAGACTGAACAGCCACCACACATTGCTGTAGTTTATTTGTTTTTCTGTACTACAAGTATTTGTTATATTTTGAGGTAGAACAAGGGAAAATTAAAACTTTTATTGTGCTTTTCTGTCCTCTTCTCCATAACTTTATAAGTACGAGTATGTGTGCTGAGATTCACTGCTTCATGTTTTACCAGTTTTCCAATGCGGTTTTGTTTATATTATTTTATATCTTATCCTCAATAGACGATGCAATGAGGTTTTAAGAAAATATCCGTTAAAAAGTAAGTCTTGAAGTAATTACATATGCACTTCTGTTGCTGCCGTCATTTTGCAGTATTCCCTTGAGCGAACACCAGCGAAACTGTGCGCGTTCATTTCCTCTTTCGCTCATGCTCCCATTCCGAGCACAAAGAGAAGCGCCTGCATACTTGGGTGAGGGGCATTTAAATATTTGCAATGAATTAYTTTTTTTYTTTACTTTGTTGCTGTTGCTTCCCTTTGGGTCAAGGTTACTGCGTCCACACGGCGTGAGTGTGTTGGCTTTACACACATATATGCTGCTGAGTTATTTCAAAGCGCGTCTACTGCCACCTAAATTTCGAAACATTTTGCTGTTTTACCRYTTGGCCGTAYCACCAGCGTTTGTTATGCTCTAGATGTTTTATTGTTGTAAGCGCCGTATAGTTGACATTGATCAGAAGTGATGGCATTTTATGGCGTTCTCATTTGCTGATGTCGACGCGAGCTGGCAGCAGGGCTTTTTAGCCTTTCAATGTCTTCATAATTCTTTCTTCTCCTCTTCTATTTGCCTCTCCTTGTAGTTGAAGCACACATATTTCGCTTAAGGTTCTTAAAATGGATTTATGTTATATTTATCACAATGTTGTGACAACTACGCTTTTCGACCCTATACCTAAAAGTGCTACGAGTCCCAGATAGTCAGTATCAGAAATTTTAACGTTTTTCAATCACGAAAGTTTTCTGAAAGCACGGATCAATTATTTGTCTTTGGAAAGAAACCACGGATCGTGTTACCCTCCTAAAGTTAATAAAAGCGACTTTCAAACTCGTTCAGTTCCCCACTTAGTCACATTTTGCATTTGCTCTGGAATACTGACGGCTGATGTCTCTTGCCTCTCGGCTGACAGTTAGCTGTCACCGTAGCATTGTTTGCTCTTCGCTTTGTGAGTAGCTGAGCTAGTTTGCTCGCAAGGTCGCTTTTGGCCGCTGGGCAAACGGACGAAGCGTGTACTGATGAAACTTGTAGCAGAGTAAGAAAGAGTTACCCTTCACAGAAGGCATTTCGCTGCGTTGTTGGGTGTCAAAGTAAACGCTTTCACGTTTGCACACCAACAACTACAACTACCTGGTGCCTGAAATTTTTTAATATAGAACTTACGCAATTTTTCTTTAGTTAAATGCAAATAGAAATGCCCGCAAAACTAATACGGCTGTGTAAATTGACGTTGAGCCATACTAAAAGCTCCATCAGGATCGGGAAGACCTCCCCGTGCCGTTCGCTACCAAACATGGTTTCAAACAAGGTGACTCACTTAACAGAGAAGATACCAACTTCTATAAGAGTGTACAGCTGCTTGCCAATATGAAATGAGGGATAATTTATTTATAACAATTATTTAGGTTAATGTCAAAAGTATCGGTTATTCTTCACCCGTGTACATTAGTTTTGCAGTAAATATGATTAAAAAGTTTCTAGCCTTTGAAGACTGAAGTTCGACTCTGTTCAAAGAGTGGTACTTTTTACTCGGATGGTTGCGATTATATGGCGTTCACTGTAAAGTTGTTAAAATTGGTTTCATTTGCAACAAACGCTAATCGCCGTGACGTATGCATTGTTGTTGTATTTTGAAATTTCATGAAAATACTGTGGCTGACCTGAGAAAATTGCGCCTCAATCAAATGCTGCCTTAACCATATTGGCATAAAGTTGCATTTCTTTTATGAAAGGCCAAATAAATTCGAAATTAAGTCGCGGTCAGTTTGAGCCAATATCATTACATAACAGCATTGAAAAATTATTATATTGCTCTAGGAAATCATGCTGATTTAAGGAACTGAAGGGTAGTTGTACTGGCGTTGGCTCACAGGCTCCGTGCGCCTCAAGCGGAATCGCTGACTTCACATCTCTGAGTTTCGCTTTCTTTGCATGAATCGCTTGTGGTCGCTGAGGAATTTCTCAATTTCAATGTAATTCTTCGTCTGCGGTTGGCTGAGTCGGCGAAATGAAATTGGTTTCGATTGCAATCACTGCAGCTGTACAATTTATTTCAACTACCAGTTTCGTGAAAAAGTGTGTTAGTAAGTGGGCCGTGTGCTTATAAGCTTCTAGGCCAGTTTGCTTTGTAAAGTAAATGCTTCTCGCTGAACTGATAATGCCTGATTGCATCTTGAACTTTCCATTGATCCCCATGAAAAGGTGCATTGCGGCCACTCGAACAGAAAGAGAAGTCGAGTACTAAACTTTGTAGTGAATAGTGCCAGATTGAGGGCAGGAGTTGTAAATCTTATGAAAGTTGTTGACCCTAATTTGAGTTTTATTTCTTTGCTGGATGCCTTGAGCTTTTGAAAGGAGAGAGTGAATGTAATAACTGCTAAATAGATATTACATTATTAATTTTAATTAGAAAAGAATGTGGAAGCGCGTACGACAGTATAGTGCGAAAGTAATGTAGTGTTTCGAACGGAAATTTAGTTTAACACACTTAAAAATCGGTTAGACGCATATATTTTATATACAACAGTTTTGTACCTGTCATTATATATTTTATGTCTATAAAGTATCTTTTGGATATTAAGTGAGACTTCGGTTGGCTAACAATATTTAAGAGGTTTTCAGTGTAAGCTTTTCAGCGGGTGTTGCCGCTGCTTCCTAACGACTTGTGCCCCTGCTTCTCCCACTCGTAGTGCAACAAAAAAGTGTGAAAGTATTTATTTGAAATGAAAAAGCGGCAAAATCATGGATTTAGCCCAGTGGGAAATACTCACAAAATGGTGTCATGGCAGCATACACACTTGTTGCTATTCTTAATTCAGTATTGCAACAAGGTTATCCGCCCAAATGGAGTTATTTGACCTCCGGTGCTTAAAAGCCATTATAAAAAGTCAGTGAAAGGCAAATGAAATATTCAACAATATTCAGCTTTCATATATTATACTAAAAGAAGCGCGGTAACACAGCTGAAAAAAGGGGACAACACAGAAAAAAATAGTAGCATCTACAGTTGAGTGAAACATTTTTAAGCATGTCGACCTGGCGTTGCTCTCTTGGCTATTAAGTGGGTACAGTATTCCAGGAAAGCTTCAGAATGGAAAATACGAAAGTCGATCAAGTCAAAATTGCATATCAAATTTATCACTGTTTTGATTTTTTGATTTAAATTTTTCACTTTAATTCTTTTCTAATAAAGCGGAAGGCATCTCTTATATTTCTTTCTGTTTACAAACCTCGAGAACTATAACGGACTTCCAAGGCAAATTTTGGAGAATTTTGGCGTATTTTTTAGTCACTAGAGCACACATTCATCAGCGGGAAAAAGTCAAATTGCTTAGTCGAGTGAAAAAAATACCCTTGCCTGTTCGATAAATGCAATTTTTGCAACGAGAAACATACCCACATATATTTTTTTTTCTACTTCATGGCACACATAAAGGTCCCAATGGGACTGGGCCGCCTACAGCTTCTTTTTTCTTTTTTTCCACGAAAAGTTTGTACGTGAAATATTACATGAAAATCATTTGCGCTGGAAAGAATGCTGATGACAAAATATAAATTAACAATTGTGGCTAGAAGCTATGCGAGAAGCAATCGCAACAAATCGAAATTTCAATTTGAGTCACTTCGGCTTCAACCGCACCTAAAATCAAGCATTTCTTCCAAGTTAACCTACTCCATTAGGGGCTATTTCGTATGCCTTTGTACGACAACTCCTATCGTGGTGGCGCCAACGCTTAAGTCCAACTAAAAGATAGCTTACTAAAGTTGCATTCGCAAATTAACGAAGTAGCAGAAAATATTTGCAACTACGAGAAATTTATATCAGTGCTCCTCTCCACCAATTCAGGCCATTCAAATGGGATTGCTTGCGAATATAATCGATATAGTTCGTGTCTTCGGTTGGCACCAAACGCCAACATTTGCCAATCTTCTGTCCCCGAGTGCCGCGGTGAACGCTTTTAGTGTCTTAATAACTCTCCAGGCAGCGACGTGAAGCATCCAAAATACAACATTTTCAGCCAAAGTCTCTAAATAAATTCATTTGTGGGTGTGGATCATCACTTACTTAAACCGCTCAGCAACCAAAAGCTTTCAAGGCGCCACTGCATCACCAACTCTTGAAAAGGCAATGTATTTGGTAACATCAGTGATATTTATAAAAACTTTTTTTTGGTTATCTTTGCAAAGCTGCTTCGAATAGTTCAGCCTTTGTTGCCTTTTCTTTGCGCTTAAGAACTTTGGGATAATTATTTCATTCTGACCTAAGGGCAATTAAGCGGAGGCGCAAGTTTATGCGATCGCCATTCAATTTCTCTCCTAAATGTCTTTTAGTTTAAAAATGATAAGTTTTCTTTTTCTACTTTAACAAATTCTCTGTACTTACGATAATTTTGTGATAAAAAGTTAACTACAAATTATTATTTTGAAGTGTGACTAAAGATAAAGGCCCAAGGCGTACGTGCCCTGTCGGCATAGAATTTGCAGTAAGAGTGAGGAGTAATCGACGTTGTATGATCGAAAAGAGTAGGGCATTGTATCGTTCTGGTATCGAACGTGGTTGGAGACTTTAAAAGAATTATTAAATAATATTCATGTGAGGCAAATATAGATAGGTTGTCTGAAAAAAATTAATAATTTAGTTGATATTTTATGTCTGCACTTTGTACTTTTCTTTCTAAATTCTTTCTAAATTGGCATGGAACCAGAAAATAATTTTAAAATAGCAAATCCTGTGCCAAGAGCTCATAATGACGACACAATAATAACGGTAATCACACTGACAACCATTGGACCATTGGAAAAATATTGGACTACAGCAAGGGAAGCAAACACTCGGCAAATAAGTCTTTTGATGATTGCAGCGAGCAAATTAAAAAGCCATTGAATTAATTCCTCCAAATTACATCGATAAAATTGTTCGCGGCGTCTAAAACTCTTTTGTGGATCCATTATTGGCAATTGTTTGTGCTTTATTTACTCTTGTCACGCGTGTTATTGGAGTTTCATTGAGAGCAAAATCTCGTTTGAATTTTATTGTTTGCAGTCTTAACGTTTACAGACATTTGCTGTTAATTAAATGAGTTTGTTAATCCTAATATAATTTCCATTAGCTTCTGTGAGAGCTCTCCTCATGTGCCCAAGAGTCTAATTTAATTTCACAGCGCTGAAGCTGAAATAAAATAAAATTGGATTAAATAAAAAGACATCTCTTCAAGCAAATTTATATTCCTCAACTGGCAACAATATCAAACAGCAATAGAAGCAACTAACGACATGTACACAATCAAAAGAATGCCACTCATATGCGTACACGTGCAACAAAGAATAATCGAAAAAGAAAAAACTTGAAGAAAGCAACAAAAACAAAAAAAAAAAAAAAAAAAAAAAAAAAAAAAAAAAAAAAAAAAAAAAAAAAAAAAAAAAAAAAAAAAAAAAAACTGATTGAAACTAAAATTGTGAAATAATGTTCACTATACTCGAAATCTCATATGAACGTATGTACGTAAGTGGAGAGGTAAACCAAGAGAGACTATGTCCGAAGTGTGGAAGAGACGGAAAAGGTAATAACAACGGGAAGTTCATTTAGTGCGACCGACGAAAGTCAGCACGTGAGTGACATGCGGAAAAGTGAGTAAGTGGAAAATAAGAACAATTAAAGTGCGTGCATGTGTGTGTGCGCGTGTTCGAAACAATGCATCTGGGGGATATTTGTGCAAGATAGTCAAGGTTTACAAAGCTGAACAAAAAACTAAAACGAGACAGAAAGGTCGTAAATTGTTGCAGAATTGAAAATTGCGCCAAAAGTCGATGGTGTATGTTTGCTGGAATGAGAAGAAGAGGGAGAGAAAGGGCGCAGCGTACAAATTTCCTCTACGAGTATTTGAACATCATTTATTCAGCCGCGATGAGAAAGTAAATTTTCATTAAATATAGATTTTTTGGAATTTTCTGAAAAAAAAGAAAAAGAAGAAGAACTTAGGTAAAATCACAATTATACTACGGCACATATTATATGTGGGTAAGGCAAAATTAAAAACATCATAGTATTTTGCTTTTCACAATGTATGCCGGCCATATTACTTTTCGAAACGCTGCATTGCTGATATTGACTTGACTATGAAAATATTCATTATTAATGTGTTATATAGGCAATGCCAAAAAAGCTCGACAAAACTCCATGCAAAAGGAGGGAAGTGGAAAGAGAAAAATGCAATAAAATCTGTTTTGGAGAGGTAATCGAATGTGAGGCAAATTCTCATGATTAACATACGCGGAAAGATATAGAAACTTGTTCCCAGTTGGAAATATAAAATCATTATTTTATTCATGATCAAAAATACTATTCCTTTAAGATTTTTTTTGAGATCCCTTCTACTTTCTTAATGAGATTGGGAACGAGAGGTGAGTTGAGAGGAACGTTTGGTGTTTCCTGTTGTACTGATGGTTATATTTTTGTCGTTGATGGCAAGGAACTTACAATGACAAAATGCAAGAATACTAACAGAACACCCAAATTAGCACGGAAAATAGAGGTTCTTTTTCATAGCTTAGGGGTGTGTTGGTGGGAGTGTAACAATTTCCCTCACGGCAGAGACTTAACATATACTCACGCTTTCCTCGCTTTGCAACTATAAGAGGATTAACACGGCAACGTTATTTTACCTCAAATACCAGACGCAAGAATTTATAATCACGTACGTAAATTCTAGTAGGGATCTGGTGGATTTAAAAGTGAAAAAGCGAAAATATTAATTTCGATGTGTTGCCATGTTGCCCACACCACTTGCATTAAATGTTGTGCTGATTTTATACATATGCAATTCTATATTTGCTTTCTGAACCACCTGGCTCGCTTCGCATAAATATTTCATTTGGTAATAGCAAATATAATGACAGCAACCCCGTGTTTGTTCAGAAATGCCTGTGCAATAAATATGGGTTAGAGTTTAAGAGACTTCAGAAGTGTTCCTGGAAAATATTGTTTATCAAAAGTAATAGTTATATATTACTCGTTCTTATGTTATGTGTTTAGGTGAGCTTAGAAGCAAAATAAATCATGAAAAAAAGAAAGTGTCCAGCGAAAAATTGACTACTTTATATACTTCACTTGACTTATATGACAAAAAAACTTTTCATTACCTGTTGTTATTGGTAGCCTATTCACCACTTATACATGAGCATACCCGGTTTCCAAAGATTATCCCAACACCGCCATACTCGCTTGCGTTCCACCACATGTTCAAATCATTTAATTCCTAAACGGTAAAAAATAAGCTATGAGTTATAACTATGGATGAATGTCTAAATTATAATTGTTTTCTAAGATTTTCAGATTGTTTCAGGGTTAGAAGTACCTGCGAGTATTAACAAATTAACAATGAAGTAGAATTAAAAAAATAAAACGGTGACTTGTGGGTATATTTCAAGGTAAAAGCTGGTAATTTACTAGAATAAAAACATCTATTACAGTGGTATCAAGAGGACTTTTTAGCTCAACATCTGTCCAAAAATGAACATGAGCGTCAGTGCCAAGGGGTACCATTTAATACTTATTATTAAAGCTTTCTGCAGTCCACTGATATTAAATATCTTTCCTTCCCAATTAACTAAATTCACCAATCAATACTCGTTATACCATTATTCGACGCATCAGTGTTGTCTAAATTTGCGAATTTGAGAATTAATGTTGCCATCCTTATTACAACCACTACAGTGCTGCCTCATGAAGTGCTCAGCAAATTCGTTCCAAACTCCAACAATAATCGCTCACTTTTACTGCGATCCGTTAAGATGGTCTAATTTGGAAAAGCGTTATTAATAGTGCATTGTTGCATTGTTTGCTGCATTTGGCGCAACCGCCAAATTATATGCAGAATGCAAAGCGAAACAAGTGCTGAGCGGGACACATTGCAACGCAAGGTTTTGGGACAAGTGGCCAGTAATTGCGCTTTCAGAGAAATGCACATTTCATACTCGACAGCGGGTGCGGTACATGCTAAGTGGAAAGCATGTTGAGTGGAAAGGGTAAAAACTGTGTTAGTGTTGCAACTAAGTATGAACAAAGAAATATTAAATTTCAGAACACAACACATGCACTCGCTCTCTTCCATCAGTGAGAGAATTGGGCAATCTCTTACAAATATGTGCAGTTTTCTATTATCGGGAACATCAAAACCGGGTTTCCAATTCCCGCAAATATTTTTTTGTAAACTTGGCAAAGAAAATGAAAATAGAGACTTGCCTATATGGTTTAAGCATTTCATGGAAGTAGTGGCAAAGACGCGCCGACAACGGGAAATTTAACAAAGGATTTGAGCCCATTTCATAGTTTTCAAACAAAAAACGAAAGTGCCTCATTTCTTATAGCTTTTGCGCAATTTACATGCCATAATTCCTAAATAAGTGATCGGAGATTGTGAAAATAAAACAGAGGAGAAACAATTCTAATGTTTTGTTGTTTTATATGCAAAGAAGTACCACTTTGTGAATGCGAAGTGTAGAGTAAGTACAAACACACACACACTGTCATTCACTAGCAGTAACAGTTACATGTACACGTAAGTGACAAGCCATTAATGTCACTCACACGCACCGTTACACTCCTCCTTCCTAGAAAGTGGTCTATTAAAGTGCTGCATAATAAAAAGAGCTCTCTTGAATTACAATGAAGTAATTGCGTTTCCATGAGAAAATCACATAGAAGGACTCGCTGTTGAATGATGCGGGAGGGTTGACAGTGGAAGAAGGACAATGATTTAAAAGAACATAAATTTTGTTTCTAAGCGCCTTCTTGACTGAGAGTGTGGGTGTGTTAAATCCAATTTCATCATCAAATTTCGCTAAAAGCCGCTTAGCCATATAAGTAAGTTGAAGATTTGCAGTTAGGGCGTAATGGGAGTTGCTTAGATTTGTCTCCTTTTGCTTCGGCGAATTCTTTTTTTACCCACTTTTTGACTTAACACTTTCCTTTATTGCTTTGGATTTGAGTTTTCAATCTTCGTTATATCCGCTGTTCGCAAGTCACACCACGCGGGAAGTTAATAGAGATAAAATTTCTGCGCTTTCCTTCTTTTCTCCTTCTTTGTTTATAAATTCGCTGTGCTGAGCTTTGCGTCTGTTCTTGGTTGTTAAGGTTAGTAGTCAGGGTTTTGACATATTTGCCGACACTGAAGATTAATGCGTCTCTAATTGAACTATCTGACGCTCAGGCCAGATTTAAATACATTTTTTATTCCAATCACCAGCGACCAGAGCACTAAACCAGCGACCAATCGAATCTCTCCACTTCGCTTTGGTAGAATTTATTTATTGTGTTGTCTTTTATTGATACATATAATGTTTCGTTATTTATTTGTTGTTTTCGGACGCATTGTTTTCCAAAATGATAAATCGGATTATTTAACTATATTTGAAAAAAAAAAAAAAATTCAATTTAATGCTAAAAAAATGAATTTATATTTATTACATTTGATACCCAAATTTTTAGACAACCACTTAGAACAACTACACTTTCTATTATTTTTTACGTTGCCGGAACATGACCAGTATTTTATCCAGGTCCTTATTTCGGTAATCTGATCTTTTTTTGAATCGGTGAGGATTAAATTTTTAGGTTAGCAAACTATATTTCTGAGTTTTAATGCATATTACACACCGTCTGCCACATACCATTGGTATACATTTAATGATTCCACATCATTGTTTAATTTCTGTAACAAAGCTTGCTGATTATCTATATAATTAATTTTTAATGAATTAAATTGCTTTTTGCTGAGTCAGTCATAGAAAAAATTGAAAAGTCGCGCAGTTTTTAATTATGTCTACTTATTATTGCATCAACTACCAGCGCAGTTAGAATGCATTTTTGCGTTATGTTATGTGTATGAGACTTTTATTGTGTTGGTATTTTTTTAAAGCAATTTTATTTTAATAGAATAGTAATAAAAGTGGCATAAAAAAACCGCAAATTTTTGTGGTAAAATTTTGATGAGCGAATCTTCATTTGTCAGTTTTTAAAATGGAAAGTTGTGCTTATTAAATCTAGCCAAAATAATAAATATATTCATAATTTTAAATTGCAGAGAATACCATCAAAAACATGAACCATAAAACGAGTGAGCAATTAGCCTATAAATTTAAAAGAATTAAATGCTGGAGGGCACGAAATCACACATACACACTCTCACACGTTCTTACGGAATATACATCCCACAATATGGCAACCCTCGGATTGTGTGGTTTGCCACAATGATTTTTGTAAATAATTCGAAAATTTCGTCTGAAATTGTTTGTGCGCCTTTTGATTTGCTTTCAACTGAGTTGGCTCCTGTTGTTGTTATTACACAAGCTCGGCGAATAATTGCAGCCCAAAAATCGCTAGTGTCAACAAAAGTCGTTGCTGCAAAATGTTTGCAAATTGCCGCTTGTTAGCGTGCTGTAAATATGTAAATAAACGCCAATAATAAAATGCTCGTTTGCTTTGGTGTTGACAATGTTTCCACAAAATTGTAAAACTGCACTTGCTTTGCGAATTCACCCAGTTTCTGCTGCAGTTTGAGCCATTTAACGAAATCAGATTCGCAAATTTTTATAAATTTTTTCGTTCCACTAATTTGACATCTGTTTAATTCAATATGTCGCCTTAGTTTTCGTGTGTTCGTGGTGGAATTCGGTATACCTTTATAGAATTATCGTTGTTGGCCTTTCAAAAGTGTGAAAATGAAAATTTTATTATTTAATTACTTTTATCATATCACAGTCATACGTAATTAAGCTCTGTAATTCGACAAATTGGTGTAAATAAATGCAAAGCAATTGCAGACATTTTGGGAAATTCATTTCTCACACATTCATTTCTGTCCACAGTACCTTTAGTTGCCTTTTTACGAAAAATATTGGTCAATGTGTCAGATTTATAATTGAAATGTACATGTGTGCTACAGATGGGTTGAATAGGGTCAATACTAGCCCCTCCTAATCTTGTATACAATTTTTCGGACTTACGGGTGACTGTATGCTTATACTTATATCAACGTGTGAGTTATCTTAATAAAATCGAGACAGCGTTGTTTAGGAGTTTGCCCTAGGCCCCATATACCCAGAAAGATTTATTTAGTTGAAGGCACCTCTCTGGATTTAATCCTTGCAAGTTGCAAGAACATGAAATGTTCGGTTATGCCCGAACTTAGCTCATCTTTACTTGTTATTATTATTGATGTTGTAGCGTGAAATGGCAAAATTTGCAAGACAAGTTTTTCAAGTATTTTTCATTTATATTCCGCCGTCGGCGTACTTAGTACATTTGTTATGCAACTCTATTCATTAGAGATGCTTCACTGTATAAAACAAGAAACAAGGATACAGCAGCGAATAGTAAATGTTAGGAAAGAGAAGAAAATGCAACAAAGAGGTCTTAATTCTCTTCTGAGCGTCAACCACTGCATTTCGAAGCAGTTTTTAATTTTGGAAAGAAATTACTGCCTTCGAAACTCGAAGTTTCGAACGAAAAAGTGCGAAGTCTTCGCGCCAATGCAATTTGTTTACCAAAGTGAATTGGAAAGACAACAAAACACACAAACGAAGAAGGAAAAATACGGCATATGTTTCTCGTGCGCGTGTTACTTGTTGCGCATTTCCATAATAATTCGACTTATCTCGCTTCATCTTCTTCATCTTTGTTTCTGTTCACGCGACACACCTACTTTCCTTTGCACTCCTTTGTTGGGGCGTTTTACCGCCGGAGATATTCAAATGTCTTACTTTATAGCGTCACATTCAACACATGGCGAAAAACCGCAACGTTCGTATCAACAACAACAACAACAACTGAAGTGAGTAACCTCCGAAAGGGTTTTGTTTCGCCAGTGAACTGAAAACTATTCATACCTCCCACAGCAGTTTTCTCGCCTGCATGTGTGTCCGTCGTGTGTTGTTTAATTCTTTATTCCTGCATTTGAAAGCGACGCGTGGGGTTGAAAACATAGCAACTCGCATCAATAGCGAGGTTAGGTGCAAACGAGGAGCATGGGGCATCGGTTTTTATATAGGTTAATACACACACATGCCACCAAATTTACAACCATATTCTCATTTATAACAAATTCGCTGTGCCGCTGCAAGTGTGGGATCATTTCCGTTACACTGACCGTTGTGGTAGTGGAAGTGCGAGTAGATGGGAGACCATCGGCAATGCAGAGCCGGGTGCACTTATAGCTCTTATCATTGCTATTGGCTTTAGCGTCACTGTGGA